TTTTGTACAGTTTTCAAGAAAAGTCTAAATTTTATCATAAAAATAAGCGTGGTGTAAACATGTAAGCAAAAAGTAATTTTCTTTTCTTTTATATCTTAATCACTAGTAATTATACAAAGTTTTGTATTTTTTTTATATATATAATTATATATTTTTTTACCTGTACAATTAATTATATATTAATTATTATTTTATAAATATCATTCTTTTTTTGGTGTACCATATGACATTTTACACTGTGAACTAACCTTGCCTTTTCATAAACAGGTAAAAATTATCTGTTATTTTTAGACTTGTTGACTCTGACACGCAGTACTGTTTTATGTTTTTCCTTTCATATTGGTTGCGCCACATGACTTTAAATTGGCAGAAAAATTTTTATATTTATTTTTATTGTATTATTTTCCAAGAAATAATAACAAAAGAAAATATGAGCATCAAGACATTTACCTAACTTCTTTAACAGTGGTGATGTGACAAGTTTTGAATGGCCACGCCTCATACTATACTGTTTTTTTTTTTATTTTATTTATTTATTTTTTATTAAAACTAATAGACATTTAATTATTTTTCAGATTTTGCCATGGGTGAGTAGACTGAAGTGTGGGCGTAGCTGTTCAGTGGAGCAAGGAGCAAGATATCACAAGCATAGTGTCCACATTCTCACAAAATAGACGATGGGTGAAGCCGAAGATGAGAAGAACCAGGCAGGACGGCTATTTGAGAACTTTGTTCAGGCCACTGACTGCAAAAGCACCCTGCAGGCCTTCAATATTATGTGCAGTTACCTGGAGCTTGACCCTCTGGAGCACAGCACCTTCTACAGCGGCCTGAAGAGCATGGTGACGTGCTGGAAAGCCAAAGCCCTTTGGGGTAAGCTGGACAAGAGAGCCAGCAACAAAGAGTACAAGAATGGCAAAGCCTGTGAGGGCATTAAGGTAAGCTTGCAAAATGCCAAAACAATAGCAATACTGGAATATGTTAGAATGTTTAACTGAGCTGGCAAACCTTTGTTGAGATCTTTATAAACCAAACATTTAGGTGGTTTATAGATTCCATCTCCGATTTGCCCTGATTTTTGTATGCAATGACATCAATATATATATATATATACTGTATGACATCAAACACATGTTGTTTGTTAGATGAGTGCTCTTTTATAGTAGTTTAATTGTGGTGTGTGGTGAGGCAAACATCTACTATTGCTCATACTATATTACACAAGTCGCCCTGCGCCATTTGTGTTACTGATAATGAATGATTCCTCACATTACCACAGATTGTGTGGATTTTATTATGACAAATGCCACATACATTTCGCCTGTTGCATGATGCAGTCACAAAGACTATTCCCACGCCCGAGTATGCTTACCTTCTACTATGTGAAGAGCAGTATGCATTAAATGAGTAATATGTGCAAATAGCATGACCGCTTATGAACACTTTACATTCCTACTCTGGCTCATTGGAAATACGTGCCTCTATCTACTTTAATGCAAAACTCAAAAAACTACGTATGCGTACGAATCGCTGCAGTTTTCAGTAGTGATGGGAAGTTCAGATCATTTTACTGACTCGGATCTTTGAATCTCATTCAGCAAAATGAACGAATCCTTCAAGTAATTTAATTCATTTTAGCAGAATATAATTAAAATGTTACATATTAATAGCCAAATTCCCCAACGCATCTATTTACGCAAACATTGATCACATTTCGAATGCAATCACATTTCAAGTCAAAACTATAATGCAACCACGACCGAATTATACTTGGAGACACTCTCCGGACATTTGAATTCTCAACCGCCACAATACATACCTTGAAGCAACGTAATAAAAACGTGTCACAGTCATGTATTGAGTACGGGTTTTAGCACCACTCACTGGACATTTAACTTTGAAACTGGCATGAAACATGCAGTAAGGTACGTAATATTGGTGTTGCAGAAATGTCACTTCGAGCACATATTTCCAGTGAGCCTGGGTTCTTACTATCCCATACAACTCTTAAAAAATAAAGCCTCTTTATTGGCCGATATGATTCCATGAAGAACCTTTAGGATTCATGGAGCATTTCCATTTCACAAAAGGTTCTTTTTGGTGGCTCTTTAAAATTCACTAAAAGGTTCTTTGGGAACCAAAAATGGTTCTTCAATGGCATAACTATGAACATTCACTCTTTGGAACCTTTTGTTTATCCCACAAAAGAGGAGTCACCTTGTTTGTAAATGCTGTTAAACAGTAATGCTGGAGATGCTGCTTTTGAACATTTCCAATGTAGTGGGTATAGTATGTCTCTGATTGTATTCAAAATACAC